GGCACAGAAAGGTGAGGGGCACAGGAAAGGTGAATGGCACAGGAAAGGTGAGGGGCACAGGAAAAGAGAGTGGCACGGGAAAGGTGAGTGGCACAGGAAAGGTGAGTGGCACAGAAAGGTGAGGGGCACAGGAAAGGTGAGTGGCACAGGAAAGGTGAGTGGCACAGGGCACAGGGAAGGTGAGTGGCACAGGACACAGGGCCCAGGAGAGGTGAGTGGCACAGGAAAGGTGGGTGGCACAGGGCACAGGAAAGATGGGTGGCACAGGAGGCACAGACCTTTGTGCCCCAGCCCCGGGCACCACCTGGGGCACAGCTCACAGGGCCACTGGCACTCCCCACCCTGGGGCTGCCTCATTTACCAAAATCCTCCCCCTGCAATCACTGCAGCTGATTTATCKCTTCTGCTCGGGCAGGATTATCATTCCTAACACAGAAACTCCCAGCAATGAGACACAGAAATGCCACTTACTGTCCCTGCTGTGTCCAGGATCTCCAGCATACACTGCTGACAGTCTACTTCCACTTGCTGGGGARAAAAAAGGGAACAAACAGCTCAAAGGAGATGTCTGAAATGGGACAGGCAAGAGGAACCTCAGCTCTGTTTGCTTCTGCCACAAAGGGCTCTGTCAGCAGAGCAAGCACCTGCACTTGCCCAAAGCTGAGCTTAGAGGATTAATCCGCCCCAAGGCAGGCATTTGGGTCAGCTCACATGCTCCAGGACTCCCTTCATTAGCACGGCTTAAATGAGCAGCTCACTGTAAACATCTCAACTTAAGTGAGATTGTAAATGTCTCAACTTAATCCAYTCTTGCAAATCAAAGCACCTTAAAACTTTAGTTTTTCCTTGCTGCTGGGGGGAAAAGGGAGTGAGGAAGAGAAAWAAACCACAAAATATTTCAGGATGCTCACAGTAAGACTTTGCAAATCTTCCACTTGATGAGAAATGTCTCAGCTCTGACCAGGATAATTCCAGGAAAGTCAAGTAAATTTAACAGCAGAACTCATCCCACAATTTCCATTTAATTATCACAGGCACAAATGTCACAAGTTTTTAGTGTATGTTTTGGTGCCTTTAATGCTGGTGACATTTATGCTAATCCGTGAAACAATGGGTCACTTGACATCCATCCAGGGAAGAAAGCAGCTCTGTGGCTGCAATTACGTAACAGCTCAGGATCCTAAAGGGCTCAGCAGCTCCAGCCCTGCATCCAAAACAGCCC